GTGTGTGTGTATGTATGTATGTATGTATGTATGTATGTATGTATGTATGTATGTATGTGTGTATGTGTGTATGTGTGTATGTGTGTATGTGTGTATGTGTGTATGTGTGTATGTGTGTATGTGTGTATGTGTGTGTGTATGTGTGTGTGTATGTATGTATGTATGTATGTATGTATGTATGTATGTATGTATGTATGTGTGTATGTGTGTATGTGTGTATGTGTGTATGTGTGTGTGTATGTGTGTGTGTATGTATGTATGTATGTATGTATATATTTTTACCATAAAAATATTTTATAAGGTTGACTAGCCATTTTAGGGATAATTTGGTCATGTAAAATACTTAAATGCTTATGTAGACATCTATTAATGGTGAGCTTTGGACAATAAAACTCAGTAAGGGGAGGTTTTAACAAGATATATGGTGAGTTTAGAGTTGGGCCTGGGTTGACCATAAACCCAGTCCAACCCACCCGACTTACACTCCTACTGTGTGTGTTGGCATTTTATTAAGGGATCTTTGGATTGCCCTATCACTACGGTCAAAGGAAGTGTGAGCTACAGAAACCATATTGCGACACTCTATCAAGGTTCAAAGTATCGTTACGTATCGGCCAATACGTATCATTCCGGGACCCTTCCGATATGCCCCTACAGTGGGTGTATTAGGGGTCTGACCGGTTCAGGGGATGGAGGGGTCCTAGATCGGCTCCCCTGAACCAGTTATGAAAAAAAAAAAAAGAAGGTAAAAAAACAAGTATCGAAACACTCAATACGGGCGTATCAATATTTTGAACCTGCACTCTATCCTTCATATGCATTTCTTCAAAGACTTCGATTGGCTTTCATGCCATCTGGACAAAAACAGCGTGGTTAGAATTTGGAACATAGAGATCCGATCCAAATATAGTTTGTCAAAAAAAAAAGTTTTTTTTTTTTACTTCAAATCTCAGTATAAAATATAAACCTAAAATAAAAAATTATGTTCTACGCAAGATATAATATATTCTGAATATAAATATGTAATTATATAATTATTTATGTATCACACATGATTACTAATCACAGGCTAACCTGTTCAATCCGGATGGTTGAATGGCCGATTATATATATATATATATAATTCTCTCAAAGGAGCTGATATGGCAGGACCAGTTTTAATATATATGTATATATATATAGATAGACTGTTGATAAGAACTAAACAGGCCCTCCCATATTAGGCTGTCTACCATGAAACAGTGAATTAGGTTGTGTCTGGGTTGCATATATAAATGATGGAAAACAAACGGCTTCTTGAAAATTGCTATCTTGTGCTGTTTGAGTTTTGATTGCATATTTGCAATGTAAACTAGCTGTTCCTGTGGAAAATGAACATTTCAAAAATATAGAAAACACGAGAAAATTGCAGGGACAGAGTCCAACATGTAGTTCATTAGCTGCTAATTGTTATATGGAACAATTAGAATATGATTCTACACGTTGTTGCAATTCTAGTTCGAGATTAGAGAAGCTTAATTATTTACATGGCAATGACAAACTTGCCATAGGTAAATAAATTTCACAAAAAGTTCTGGGCTGCTTCATCTCTAAAGAAACACAACATGAGGAAGAAAGCCCTAAAATTTGCTGACCATAGACAAACGTATAAACAGATAGGCATCATCTCTTGTTTCCTAATGGACAAGAAAACATATTCCTCTGGAAAGGATGACTGGATATGAGAGTATATATTAGGTATCCTGGAGTGAGCTACCAATCTTGATGGTGAAATTGAGTGAAGATGCTGAATTTCTATATTATCTAAACAATTAGCAAGCCTAAAGTACAACAAATGTACAACAACGTGCAATCATGATTGAATTCCTTTTCCTATTTTTTTTTCACCAGTTTATTCATAAGTTGAAGGGCTACTTCTGCAGTCAAAGGGAAGGTTTTCTAGCCATGAATCATCCAAGAGGAGGGATGATGATTCAGACTCCGTTGGCCATTCAGAACTAACATCTATTTCATCATATATAATAGGTCTACATTTTCCATCCCTATTTTGCCGGATAGCCTGTAAGCGGAGATTGCAGTGCACAAAAACAAAATCATTGAACTTCTCCTGCTCCATTCTGTTGCGTTTCTTGGCATGTTTATTCTCAAAGGTGCTCCAGTTCCATCTGCACCAGTGGGAGCTACAAGGTTGGCTTAGTATCCGTATTGCAACTCTCTGCAATGTAGGGACCTCATAACCATATCCTGCCCACCAATCACCTATGGACAAGAAAAAGTCAGTTGGCATACAGACAGTTCTTTATGATTTCTAGAAGATTCTATTAAATGAGGAATGAATACTCTCTAGTCAAATACAACCAAAAGATGATATCCACCTTTTTCCAACATGTAGTGTAGTTCAAAGGGTAGGCCAGAAGAAAATATTTGAAAGTCAACGCCACTGGGGTCTATAGACCCTTCTGGGCATATCACCACTTGTCCCCTGACCCTTGAATGCCATGGATCAGAGGATACTAATATCCAGTGTTCAGCATAGATATCTTTCATATAGTCCTATATAATGGGCTTATGGAAGAAAGATTATCAAAAGAAAGGAAAGGGGGGAGGGGGGGGGGCATATAGAAGGAAACCATCAAATTCTGGCATTTTCACCCTGACATCAGCCCCTTACAGGATACTAGTCATAGCTCGATACAACAAACAAAACCTAGAAAGCAGAGATTAGTAGTATATACCTGGAGCATTCAATGTCCTACCCATGATTGCAAACTCACTGCCAAGAGCACCATGTGCATTTAGATATACGGGATGTTCCTTAGTGAATTCAATCTTATCTTTATCCTCGGGAAGCATCTTCATCATGGCTTCTTGAAACCCATTCCTCATCTTTATGTCAACCTTAAAATTTGGATTGTACGTAATAGAAGGATTAAGATAAGCTGCAGCTGCATGTAATGGAGAATGAAGCTGCATATTCCATCTCCTGTCAATTATGTCCCAAATTGGCATATATTTCTCTTCAATCCCTTTATAATACATTCTAATAGAAATCTTTGCCCTTTCCATGAACTCATATATATAACCCATGGCAGGCATATCACCATCTACAATCCTCAAAACTTTAACGAGGGGCTCTGAGATATTCACAGCTTCATGTGCTGACTTCCAAAATCTATCTAAATGCAATAATGACTTAATAGCTTGTGCATCAGGTCGTCTACTATATACAGATGATAACCATTCAGTATGGGAGAACATGTGTTTCAAATTGTCCTCCTGAATTACAATGGATCTCAAGGAAAGGAAATTTGTTACAAATCTAGTTATTCTTGGCCTGATCAATTCCATTCCACCAGTGAACTTTCTCATCATATTCAAAATCCATGCATGGCTATATATGTACCTTGCAATGGCCAATGCCTCTTCCAATACTGTACTCACCCATTCCTGCTTACTGATGTCCTCAAGCATCTTGTCAATACAATATGAAGCGCAAGGAGACCAGAATAATGAATTGTACTTGGTCATGAGAAGTCTTCCTGCATAAACATAACTAGCTGCACTATCTGTTATTACTTGAACAACATTTTCCACACCAACGTCTAAAACAACTGACTCAAGCAACTCAAATAAGAAATGAGCATCATCTGCATGGCCTGATACATCAACTGACTTAAGAAACAATGTCCCTTTAGGACATGTAACTGAAAATACAACAAACGATTTGTTCCTACCATCTGACCAACAATCAGACAAGATTGTGCAACCTGTTTCTTTCCAGTCATCTCTAAATCTCTTGTAATTATCATTTATTTCACCTTTCACCTTTTCCAAGAGAGTGGATCTCAATTTTTCATAGCTCGGGGCTTTATAACCTACACCACACTCTGCTATAGCATCCACCATTGCCTGATAATGCATAGACTTAGTAGCACTAAATGGAATAGAGTTATGGAAGAAAAATAGTGCTATCTTTTTATCAGCATCATCTTGCTTTTGCTTCTGAGCATCATCAACCATTGGTTGCGCACTTGGTGAGGGACGAGGAAATAACAAAGATGGGCAAGTGCTACCTCGTTGTCCACTAGACGCAGGATTAGGATGGAAACCACCACTAGCAGAGGAGCTATTTTGTGGACCATTGGCTGCCCGATCTACTTTTAGCTTTTTGGGATTCTTCTGTTTCTTTGGAGTGTTTAATATGCTAAGAATGAATTCCCTCACTTCATTTGGGACCTCTGTGCAGGGAACTATGTCTTTATTCTTGATTTGAGCCAAATGAAATTTCATACGGTAAACCCCACCACTGAATTCACGCTGACAATAATTGCATCTGACCTTTTGTCTTGTTGCATCAACCAAAACACAGTGCTCCCAGCAGGCATCTCTTCCTCTTACCATAGTTCTGAGATAAGTAGCAGGTTTAGCAAGATCCTTTTTACTTTACCCNCACCCACCCCCAATAAAAAAAATAATAATAAAGCAGAAAAAGATAACTCTCAAGAAAAGGAGAAAAATAAAAGAAAAGCATAAATAAGTTCATGATATCTTTACATTTATTTACAAATTATAATCTTGTTGCTGATTTCAAGATTTTAAATTAGTCCTTTTAACTTAACCAGAGAAACAAATTGCAATTAAAAATAAAGATACGAAACATCATAAGGGGCCAATGCTTGATGTAATGGTAAAATCTCAGGAAGACAAGCATAAGAACGTAGGTTTGAATCTGAGAGAATCCACTTTGCACAAAAACAAAAAATGCTGAAGATTAGATCTATATCCAGTCCACCCCTCCCAGATCCCAGATAGTCAGGACCAACATTGAGTAATGGCCTTTTTAGATATGAGACATCATAGTAGGGTTTATAAGATGATAATAACGATGAAGGTAAAAAAGTATTTATAACAATAATTAAAACAACAACATGAAAAATTTTAAGATATGTTTATAACATGATATCAAACCGAGCAATTATGCATAGAACATATAGACTAACAAAAGAAACACAGAGGGGGGAATTATAATTCTCATATCAATTTCAGCGTAGAAGGGGGGAAAGGTAAGTTTCACCAAAATGCACCAGAAATAAAGAAGAAATAATAATAGACGAAGTATTGCTTTTATTTATAACAGCCAACTTTATCAATATGTTACAAAGAACGTGGAATACATACAAAGATAAAGTGCCAAGCACCCCCAATATCCCCAGGTAGCCTCATCTACCACCCCTTTATTTATACAAAACTGTGTAGCAGGTTCCCCATTTGCCACCCCATCCCCTTCCAGATACAATTGTGCCCTGTTAACCCCTTCTTTGGCTAAAGCATCTACCAAACAGTTTGCTTCTCTTGGTGTCCATTTAAAGTGAGCTCTTAGTTCCAGAGACAGCTTCCTTACTTCCCTCAAGATGCATCTGCCAAACATGGTCCTTGGTTTTTTTTTTGACAAGCAGCCTAAAGTAATACATGAATCACCTTTCCACCAGCATATCTCTGAGATCGGAGATTTGCCTAGCTTTAAACTTTGGTGTAAGGCAAGCAATTCAGCCTTTAGTGAGTCTCCTTGATCTATAGGTCCTGAAAAAAATGCCAAGATCACCCAATTATGATCCCTAAACACCCTGCCAATTCTGGATATTCCTTGATTCTGTACACTAATCAATTAAATTTAGTTTAATTTGATACATATTCTGAGGTTTCCAAGAATAAGATATTACTGTCCTACCTAGCTGTAGACTTAGCTACACAAGACCATCCCCTCACCATAGAATTCTTGGAGAGAAGATAAAAATAAACAATGTTTTGACCCAACATACCATCACTTATTAATATGTTTTCTATTACAGTCTCCTTAGAGTAGTATTCTTCCTTGAAAATCCTTCCATTTATTTCCTCCCTAACAGCCCAAACAACAAAATGAAGTATTGTTAACACAAATAAAATAATATCGACTAATACTATCAATAACTGAAGTGCATTATGAAAACTTGAAAATTTTTATGTAATAATAAGCCTAGTAAAATCAACATAACCAACCAAACCAAAATACAGCCAAATTAGTCATGATATTCTTTTTTTAAATATTCCAGGCATTGATGACGAAGATACCGTTTGAAGCCTCCCTAATTCAATTGCTAATCACTCACAATTACTTTGATAATCAAAAGTGATAGCTTATAAGTTTATCAATGTTGGTTATACATCTTTCGAGCAGCACTAGTGGTAATTCATAGCAACGGGTATAGGATGTTCTGAAATCAAACCTTTGATGAGCAGATCTATGGTAAGATGGGCTCAAATCTGAGATAGGTAAGTTAAAAAGAGAAAATAGATAGCATTTTCAAATCTAGAATTATTAGAATATTACTAATAATTTGATAATTAAACCACCAACATTTCTATACAACAACTAGAATATTAAGGACATTTTCCTAGAGGAAAAAAAGAAGCAATAGCAATACAACATGCAGCAAAGATTAGTTTAAGCAAAGAGAAAAAAATGGCCATTATCCAATGTTGGCCCCAGCTATCTAGGGTCTTGGGTGGGGTAGACTGGATACAGACCTAACCTTTGGCTTTCTTTTTTTTTTTTTGGTGCTAAAAAAAGCCACTGTAAGCATCTTCTAATTGAATTGCATAACTAATTTATATCCAACTAACCAAACAAAATCACTAACTTTTACATGAATTAGAGCGAACGAGTATAGCCAATAAATCAACTCAATCATAAGTCCTCCCAAGTAGATAGTCACTTTAAGCTGGTTAATACATCTAAAAGAGCAATTAATGCTAGAAATTGCCCACGTTTTGAAAGCCAGAGCCAAATCTCCAAAGCAATTAGAAACACAACCAGAAACACAGATTCCATTTTCCATTTTCAAAAATGTAGGTTGGACCTGGTTTATATCCATTATTTTCATCCCATAAGCTCAAAATGTAGATAACAAAACCAAACAGAAAATATTCAATCTGTCACTTGCATCCCTCGGCCCAAGGTACAGCTCCGCAACCAAGAATTCCATGAACGTCTGAACCCAGTTTGAACCCATATTTCTCAATACTCGAATTACAGTTCAATTTGACACAGGAATAGCTCAGAACCAATAAAGCAAATTCTTTGGCCAATTTAAAGTAAGCAACCAGTTTTTTATTCAAGCATCACCAGAGGTAAAAGACGGGAACCAAGCACAAAAACTGAATCAGAACAGATATCTCAACTAGATAAGCTGTTATTTGAACTTCGAGTGATGACCTCTTAAAATTTTCGGAAGAAGAAAACTAGGGAATTTTTAACACTTGAGCGATCTTAAAGGGCGAAAGGCCCAACAAATTAATAAGGAGAAATTGACTTATGAGAGAAAGAGAGAGAGGGGGAGGGAGAGATACTCTACCCGGTCAGAGAGGGATCTGCCGCGTCTGAAGCACCGTTGCTTTTGTTGTTTACAGATAACGACCGAGAGGACAGTGAAAAGAGAAGAACCAGAGAATCGTGGAAGAGGAAGGGTACGACCGAGAGACGAGGGGGGGGAACCGAGGAAATGAAAAACCACGGCGATAATTTCTAGTAATCGCGAGGCCGACAACCCGAGGAGCTGAGCGTCCAATTCGCCCTTTTCCTTTCACCATTTCACGTGTTGACATGCGTGTTCCCACGCTAAACTTCCTGTGACCTTGACATCCAATGAAATGCGAATACACCGGCTGTCCTATAAAGCAAAAAATTCGCCTGTTTAATCCAATCGCACATTTGGAAGATCTCATCGAACCTGTAAAACTAATGCGAGATATTGTACGGCTGGATGGTAATACTTCATACTTCCACGGTATATGCAGAATATTTGCTTGCAGAAAAATCACTTTATCCATCTCTCTCTTTTATATTTATGAGGCATCTAGTGAAAATAAATGTTGCTGACAAAAAAAACCAAGGAAAAATAATAGTTCAGAAAAAAACAATGAAAAAATTAATATATATATATATATATATATAGAAAATGGATGTTCTCTCCGTGAGCAAATGGAATCTATTCGCACCCCACGTGAGAATTCACAACCCAGTAATTATGGATAATTAATGGAATCTACTGATTATGCCAGTAATTACAGTAATTAATGGATAATTAATAGAATCTACCGATTATTACAGTAATTACTGTAATTTAATAATTACTGATTATTATAGTAATTTAATAAATATAATTAGTGATTATAATTAATAATTACTGTTATTATAAATATTGTTAATTACTAGATATTTACTTTAAAATTATAAATACTGTTAATAAAATACTGATTATAACAATAATTTAATAAATATATAATTAATAATTACTGTTATTATAAATATTGTTAATAAACAGATACCTACTTTAATTTTACTTTAAACTAAAATTAAAATTATTGTTATTAATAAATACTGATAATAAATTTAGTAATTATTGTTATATTAAAATTAATTAAAAATGTTATTAAAAGTATTGTTATTTATTATTTAATAAAATATTATAATTACTGACTATTACTAATAAATAATGCTAAATTAATTTAATTTTGGTAATTATCAATTTAATGAATATTGTTAATAAATCCTATTCATAAATTTAATATTTATTGTTATATTAAAAATAACTAAATAATATTATTAAAACTATCATTAATGATTATTTAATTAAATAGTATAGTTACTTACTATTATTGACAAATGTTGTTAATAACGTTATGACAATTGATGGTTCGACCATTCGATTCAAACAAATGACCCGTTCTGACAACAAAAATTACAAGCAAAAAATTATGGAACCGTTTTGGCCACTGGTTTTTGGCTCGACGGTTTGATCATCCGGTTCGAACGGATGGTCCGTTCTAACAACAAAAATTATAGGCAAAAAATTGAGTTTGTGAGGTCCATTAAGTAGTATCATACGTGCTATGTCATTCGAGCGTGTAACTCATACGACTCGAAAACGGAACTGTCCTGGCCACCGGTTTTTGGGTCGATAGTTCGACCATTCGGTTCGAATGGATGACCCACTCTAACAATAAGAAATTACAGAATTTTTATGGCCGTCGATTTTCGAGTCAACAATTCGATCGTCCAATTCAAACGGATGATCAATTCTAACAACAAAAATTATAGACAAAATTTTGAGTGTGAAGTCCATTAAGCAGTATCATACGTGTTATGTCATTCGAGCGTGTGACTCATACGACCTGAAAATGGAATCGTTCTAGCCATCGGTTTTCGGATTGACGGTTCGACCGTCCGGTTCGAATGGATGGCCTGTTCTGACAACAAAAATAAAAAAAAATAAAAAAATGGCCAAAAACCATCGAACGGGTCAACGGGTTAACAATTCAACCACTCGAGTCAATGGGTCATTGACCAATTCAATGGTTTTTGGCTAGGGACCGGGATTGGGGTAAAATGGAACTGGTTGCCTAAACCGTTCCCAATTAAAAAAATAAAAAAATGAACAACTCGTTCTGACCAAAAATATTTAGTGTGTGAAGTCCATTAAGTAGTACCATACGTGTTATGTCATTCGAGCTTATGGCTCATATGGCTTGAAAATGGAACCATTCTGGCCACTAGTTTTTGGGTTGACGGTTTGAACGGATGACCCATTTTGATAACAAAAAATAAAAAAATGACCAAAAACCATTGAAGGGGTCAATGGTTTGACCGCCTGGGTCAATGGGTTGTTGACCAATTCAACGGTTTTTGGCCAAGGACCGAGATTAGGATAAAACAAAACCGATTGCCTGGATGGTTCTCAATTAAAAAGAACGGCCAAAAACCATTGAATAGGTCAACAAGTCGACGAATCAACCGTTCGGGTCAATGGATTGTTGACTGATTCAACGGTTTTTTGCCAGAGACCAGTTAATGGGTCAACGGATTGATAGTTCCATTCCAGGCCCTGCGAATCAGGGCCCCTTTGCTAGTTTATTTTAAAGGAGAAATGCCTCTATGAATTTTGATAAATACCACATGACTGGATATTGATTTTATGATACCGGTGGTTAGAAGTTTTTCTAATATTATGTATTTTTGGTATTGATACGATCGAAGTTGACCACCAATCAAAATCACAAGTGGCAGCAAGCTAGGGAGCATAGTTGTTAATTGACCTGAATTAACTTGACTTGGTGGAGCTAACCTAATTTGGCTGAGTTGACCTAATCTTGTTGAACTGACTTGGCACCAGTTCATAACATGCAAAAACAACACGTGGCCGAGGTGATCAGAACATCAATGCCAACACATTCCATGAAAGCCCATTGTCTATCATGTGCATACTATGTGTATGCAATGTGTACACAACATGTCAACCAAAGGCATGGCAAGTGGACCGAGCTCCAACCATGTATGAGTGACGTTGGTTCTTAGATGAAACCTCTCTCCTATAAATAGGTAAGCCCTTTATTCATTTGCACAACATAACACTATATTATGCTACTATGCACAAGACACAATGGATACCTCGGCACAGGTCTCATCACATCTCACTGAGCTTTCTAGTTCATCTCACTAAGCTCTCTAACTCATATCATCGAGCTCTCCAGCTCATCTCACAGAGTTCTTTAACTCACCTTTGCCTCCCTTGGTGCTACCGACTTAATCGTCAGAGTGCACACCTCGGGGTATCACCCTAGGGCCTTTAACATCTTTCCTGGTTGTAGGTCTCTCTCATTAGCTAAGATGACACTCCAAGCCAAGGTAACACCTTAAGCAACTTTCCATCTCCACCCTCGTGGCCAATTTTAATGTCAACAGGTATCATCATTGAACCATTTAAACACCCTAGTGATGGTTAAGGTGTTACCTTGGGCTCAATTACATGTTGAGCGGGCCAGGCTTAGCATCTGCAAAAAGCTCGGGGTGGGGACTAGCATAGTTTGGACTTGTTTATGGTCTAGGCTCAAACTTGGCTTTTGCCAAAATTCTAATGGACTACTGAGCTCAAGAAAATGTAAAGCTGAACCAAAAGCCTAGCATGAGAACAGGTCTAGAGCTACAATCCGAATCATCATCATCCAAGCCTTAACCTAATTATATGGGGTCAATTACATGTTTTTCTATTCCTTCTCTTTAATGTCAAAAGTATAAGCCTACTCCAAGCTAGGCTATGATGTATATTTATATTTATATCTATCTATATCTATATTATTACTATTAAAACTATAAATAATGTGAACATTTTCTTTTTTGACTAATATACCCCAACCTTTTAACTTGATCTCTCTTTAACTTTGCTGGCATTTGAACTACTACCTTTTCATTTCATTAAATTCTTTCTCATTTTTTTTATTAAATCTTATATATAAAGTATTTTTTTTCTTACCAATAAGTTCTACTAGTTGGTTCTAAATTCAATATTTTTAATAATATAAAACCCATATTTTTTAAGACCGGCCCAAGAAGAAAACTATTCTTACATCTAATGGTGAACAAGAAATTCTACAATTTTTTATATTTCTATATATACAAAAATAATTCTTATTTAACAATATATACTTATTTTTGTTTTATATGATGAATATATAATATTAGAAATGGTTTTTTATAATATTTTCTCATTTTTTTACAACTTTTTTCGTATTTTATTATTTAACTATAATATTAATGTTTGAAACATTTGACACAAAAAGTTGAACCATCTAGTTGCCACCTAACCTTATCGTGAATAAAGGAAAGCATGTGAGAAATGGTACGAGAAGGGAATGTCACTGTGGTTCCATCCTCGGTCCACAGAGACGATAATTTTCAGCCAAAGCTGCTTCACAAAGTGGAGGGACGACACAGAGGATCGGTGTGCCGACGAGGACCCGACGAGAAGGTTCACTACAATTGACTCGTTATTTGACACATGAAGTTGAACCAACGACCAAGAAGCTAGGTCAAATGAATCAGGGTTCACGATGTCAAATTATGTCGGGATCATTGGCAAAATGAATCAGAGAGAAGAAAAATGGGGAGGGGGAGGTGGATAGGGAAAACGAAGAGGGGAAGGGGGCTGGTTAAAGAGAGAAGAAAAATGTCGGTTATCTCAGTTGGGCTGGTTTTCTGGCAAACTCCCGTTATGCGAAGAGGGGAGGTGGAGAGGGAAAACGAAGAGGGGAAGGGGGCGGAGGAAGAAGATCATTGCCGCTACCAGAAGTTGTAGTGGTGGTAGTGATTTGGGCACCGAAAAACAGAGGGAAAAGAGGAGGTCGCCGTCGAAAACCTTGTTCGCAATTTCTGTTCATAAGCACAAACAACTATGTCGCCGAAAAATAGTAGTTGAAAACCTGTTCCCGATCTCACAGTAGGAAGAGGAGGTCCGGTGAAGAACAGTAGCCCCAGTCTCTGTGCATAAGCACAGATAACTATGTTGCCGAAAAACAGTAGCCGAAACCCTGTTCCTGGTCTCGGAGTAGGAAGAGGAGGTCTGGTGAAGTACAACAACCGAAAAATGGAAATATCCTCCGGCTATGGTGCCACTACAAGAATAGTTGTTGCTGTAGATCGTTATCTCTTTCAAGAGAACAACCAACCGGAACGGAATTATTATCCACGATCATATTCTAAATCGTTATTCTAGTCGCCGTTCCATTCTAGATTACCCCTATCTCCCTCTCTTTCCCTCACTTGGTCGTCTGGAACAGAGCCGTCCACGAATCTCGGTCGTCTAGCACAGACATAACCCTCTCAGATCTGGCACATAAAATTTTGTTTGTTTTCCCGTTGGCGAGAGAGAATGCTCTGTTTCCGGCGAGAGAGAATACTCTGTTTCCGGAGAGAGAGAATCTTTTGGGGAAGGACATTACTGAGATCACCACCTTGGTTCCTTCTGACGGTGGTGTTGCTATTGTTGTCTCTGTATGTGGTGTCGGAACTGCCACTGCACTGGCTATGGTTGAATCAAAGAAGAGAAGGAACAGGAAAGTGAAGATAAGAGGGATGGAGGGTAGTATTGGGTTTTAAAAATAATTTATAGGTTAGGTGGTATCACATACTAAACAATAGGAATTGGGTTTTTAAGAAATTTGTCCTAAAAATAATTATTATTTATTTTTTAATATAATTAATATAAAATATTAAAAATGTATCCACCTTTATTTGTGCAAAAGTATATAGGTGTTGTATTGGAGAATGGATATCCATGTAAAGGATGATTATTTTGATCACTTCACGTGATTCAGGTTAAAAGGGAAACAACACCATTACGATGACTTGTGGCTACAACAACTTTTTCTTTCCTTTCTTGTTTTTCTGATCGGGATGACAGATCAATAATCTTTTTACCGCAAAAAACTCATTAACTCGTTAAGACTGATCACACGTTTTGTCCTTTATACAAAGGTTCATAATAATCCGTGTCAGTGACGCTACCATTATTCTTGGTTCGTTGGTTATTTTGTACCAGATGGACAGGGGTGTCTATGAAAATAAAAAAAATCGAAAAATCAAACTAGAAAATGCGGTTAACTGAATCAATAGCTTTGGTTTTGATTTGATATTTTTAAAAAACCAAAGGATTGGTTTGATTTTCGGTTAACCTACAAAAAAATGTGATTAATTGAATCAATTGGTAGGGCTGTTCATAAGAAGGCCCAATCCGATCAAACCGATCAACCTGGACCAACCCAACCTGTGTCGGTCGGGTTTTCATCAGTACAGGTCGGTTTCGGGTTGTGCAAATTCCTAAATCGATGATTTGGGTTGATTTTGGTTTTCACATAAGAAAACCGAAATCGATTCAAACCGAACCGACTTAGTTCCTAGTTCAAACATGAAGTTCCAAAGCCTATTAGGCCACCTAGTTTTTGAATGGTTACAAGAAATTTTGGATTAGTGAATAGTGATTAATGAACAACTTTTGTGATTAACTTTTCATTTAAATTTTATCATAGGAGATGGCTGAAATGATGTTCAATTTATGACTGTTTTTAAAATTAGCGAGATTTTATCACAGGGATGAACTTAGAAACGAAACTGACCCAAACCGACCCAACCTGACTTAAAACCGACCAAGTCGGTTTTGCTTAACACTGGGTCGGTTTCAGTTTCTATGTCAGGTAACCCAACCAGGTCGGGTCGGTTGGAAAAACCGCAATAAACCGATCCAACCCGAACCATGAACAGCCCTATCGACCGGTATATATATTTATATGTATATTTTATATATATTTTTAATATATGTTACATATTTTCTATATATTATATATAAACATATATTCATTATATATATAAATATATACAATAATATATATATATATATATATAATCTATTTATAAATATATTATATATCATTTATTATTTATAATATAATATTATACATATATTTATATAATATATATTATAAATATAAAAAACTGAAAAATCAAAAAACCAAAACTGATGGACCGATTAACTAATAGTACCGGTTTGATTTCGGTTTTAGGAAATAGAAAAACCGATAGTACTGGTTCAATTTACAAAATCTGCCCAACTGAACCATGAACACCCCTATGGGTGCAACGTATGACATCTTTTAGGTTTCTGGTTTGTTTCAAGATTCCATGAGAGCATAGAATCCCTTTATCGATTTTTGCTTCTTACACTACATCGCAACCGTCCATTAAGAGCATCTTCACAGGAACGACATCATTAAGTATAGAAATATTCTCAATGCACGGCTGAAAAAGCGGTGTGAGGCACGTTCTGTGAGAAACAAATCCGGATTACCGTCCATTAAGAACATCTTCATAGGAACGACATCATTAAGTATAAAAATATTCTCAATGCACGGCTGAAAACGCTATAAGATTGGTATGAGGCACGTTCTGTGAGAAACGAATCCGGATTCTTATTATTGGCCCTTGCCCCTTGGCAACAGTGGCCCGTGGGCACTTTTCATGTAGTTTTTATTTTTATTTTTATTTTTATGTTTTATTTTATTATTTTTTTCATGCAGGTTTCAGTCCAGCTTCCTTTGGGTGAGCTAAACATGCATAAATGCGTAATACCTCCTTAACAAAGGAGAGGGTACAGGTTCTTTATCTGATGAAATAAACATTAGAATCCCTCGTAGGCTCATACATTGTTTATTTGATGAAATACCAGAGTGGTAAAAAAGAAAATAAATTAAAAAAGAGAGTAAGCCACCCAAATATTCCATCTATTTTGAGCTGAAACCAGATTTGTTTCTCACAGAGCGTGCCTCACCAATCTCACAGCATTTGCAACCGCACGTCGAGAGTATCTCCCTAGTTATATATTGTCATCCATGAGAGATTCCCAATGCACGGCTGCAACGTGCTGTGAGGCGCACTCAGGAGCAAATCTGAATTCTTTTGAACCATGTGCAGGACAGAAAGCTTCTTATTTGAGTACATTTATTTTGATGCTTTTGATACTATGAACAGGCTATAAGAGCAGGTAATCTTCTGCTGCTTCCCCAAAAGTTCATCCTAGCCTAGTGGTTTTACCATTTACACATTCAAATATATCTCATCACCTCCAAAGTACAAAGGCCCAATGCTTTGATCTTTTGGGAGAAGAGGGGGCTAGCCAAACTTCTCAAATTTCAACTATAAAAACAGCTTTAGAGAACTGATTTATCCAGTCTTTCCTGCTTCAATTTGCTTAAATAGATGATACATATACATGATGTTGGGCAACAAAAATGATACAAAGCGAATTTCAACCATTAAAACCATGAATACATCTCTAACGACCCTTCCCATCCCCCCTGCCTGGAGAGAATTGGCTTAATTAATTGCAGAGGGTAAATAATTATTTGTCCAGTCACATAAGCATGTTCTTCATAAATATTTGTCCAGTCACTAACGTCTTCAGCATAACTCCATGCACCGCACTTCGACAAGATCATACAAGTCAACCAGAAGACAACAATTTTAGATTATCATCACACTGGCTATGCACTGCAAAGACTAATGTAGGGGGAAAAATGTGTTTCTCCAGTATTACAAAATGCTCTTCTGCTTCGCATGTTCCATGAGTTCCATCTCCTCGCACAGGTTGCTAATGTTGGGGATTATCCCATTATTATAATTTCGTAGCATGTCATCCCCGACCAACTCCTTTAACAAATCAGATGGTTCTTTTGCACCCCCATGCTGTAAGAATTTGGTTCTTAAAGCAGATCCAGTGGCCAATGACAATGGATCCTCTGAGCACACTTCCTTCCATATTGAGGCAGCAAAGCACTTGGCGTACAGGTAACTATAATAACCTGCATCCATTAAATTAGTAGCCATTTCAATTAAATATTAGCAATCAAACAGTCAGCAATCCAGATAGGACATCGAAACAAGGATAAATATCGCATTTAAGCATGTATTAACCACAAATGAAAACCAATGGGCATTAAACATGGTAGGTGGTACACATAGGATAATGCAACACCCAACCCTCTGGTTGAGAAAGAATAACAGAAACTAATGAAGAGAGCTAGCAAAGATAACCAAGCCCTCAGATGAACCATGGTGATAAAATTATAAATATCAAAACATTAACACTTGATAGCAGCAAAAAGGTGGAAGCTACCATTCCATAACTGTCCAAGTCCTGACAGATCGATACATGTAAAATATCCAAGAGAATTGAAGCCACAAATAATCTAAACTATCAGAGCAATGACTCTTTCTGGACTTTTCCCCCAAAGGCACACAATAATGAAAGATCGTCATACCCAGCCAGCTGGGTCAAGAGTCATAACTGATCTAAAATATTTCCTGGGTTGGGTTGCTTTATTGCAATCTGGGTGACCAGGGTTCAAATCTTGGAAACAATCTCTCTGTACGTGCAGGGGTAAGGCTGCATAAATCTGTCCCTCCCCAGACCCCACATTGGTGGGAGCCTTGCACTGGGCTGCCCTTTCATATTCTCAGATTGTATAGCATTTTAGAACTTAAAGATTCTTCACACAATAAATGAAGAACCCCCGCATCAACAATGGAGGTTAGGAGGCCAAACTCCTCACCTATGTTGTGAAATACAAATTAGGAGAGCAACATTAGACAAGAAACAATTATCAAGTGACACATAAAATGTCCTTTTTCTCACCCAAAACTTGACTTCCAAATAATACATGTTGAGTCTTTGTATCAGCAAGGGAAGCATATTTTCAGGGTTACAGAAAGCATCTGACAAGGCACATATAACATAAAATATCCTTAGCTGGAAATATATCACTGTGGATGCTCAAGTATAACATGCAGATCAATCTCAACCTTTCACTATTTTCTCTTTAACAATTCAAAGAGGCACAGCAATTGGACTGATGGGCTTAGGAATACCCTGATTAGGACCCACAAGGCCACGAGCTTCCATTTGGTAAGCTCAAGCATAACATGCAGATCAATTTCTCAACCTTTCATTATTTTCTCTGTAAGAATTCAAAGAGGCACATCAATTCGACTGATGGGCTTAGGAATACCCTGATTAGGGCCCACAAGGCCACACACACACCATCAGATGAAGGTTTAATCTAAAAGTGGAACATCCTAGAAATGAAATGAAAACAATGTAGTCTCCACCTGCTCCATAATTTAAGAGATGATTGAATCGCGTGTGCCAATGTGTGCCCTCAACATGCTTCCAACTGGTATGTTGTCTTTTGAGGTCTCCAACAACTGAAATTGTATCTCTTGGTGAGAATGACTGCTCCCCAAAAAGTGTTTGGTCAATCAGGGCATAAAAAACCTGTTGGGAAGACAGAGAAACAACATTCAGTATGATGGGCAGTTCTTGTAGGGAGATTTATGGTTGCAAATACAGCAGCAAAAGCTTGAATATGGAGTTTCATGACCTGTAAAATGCAGTCCCCATAACATGATACATGTAACCAACCCCATATAGTTAGGACAGGGCTTAGTTGAGTAAAGCTGAGTATATTTGGATGATGGAGAGAAGTCAGTATGAAGAAGCTATGTAACTACGCATGAATTATATTTGTTAAAGGGGAAATTGTGGAGATAGAGGGAAATAAACCGTTTACAATTGAGCGTTTCTACTTAGTTGATTATAGTTCTTACTAAAGTGAGTTAGAGATCATGCCATCTATAGCTATGGTTGACTTTGGCTCCCTAGAAATGTAGATCTGAAGATTGAAGATGGAGTGATAGAAAACCATCTAAAATCCAATTGTCTAACCTGACTGATTATGATTCCCTTCCAGGTGCAATGTTCAGAAGAATGATGTTGTCTATAACCAGTTTATTTTATCTGGATGACCACAGCTAAGTGTGAGAAGTAAATTCATAGTCCAGGAAATATTTGTACCAATGATTCCATTGTACAAAAAGGAATGTGATGTTATAAAGTTTCTTGCTTTTATTTTGTAAAGTTGGGATCCGGAAAGAAATATAAATGGAATTCTCATTTAAAGAATTCTCTATTTATTTTATCTGTTCTATACATTTATTTTTCCGAGACAAAATGAATAGGTCTTACTCAACATAATATGAACTCAATCATTTGTTTGAGTGAACTATGTTGCATGAGGATTTCTTAAAATTTCCACACCAACAGAATACAATAATTAATCTAGATTTACACTGGTTACAATAACCATTTTTTTTTTTATAAGTTGGTTACAATAACCATTTGATGGACCACATCCCACAAATGACATTTTCTTTTGATCCAGATCTTCTAGTTATAAGCTTTCTTTTGGGTGCTCAAGAATAATTGTTGTGCCAGTTCAAATTTGGTCCATTGACATACGAGAAGCAAAAAGATCAAACTAAAACAGTTTAAACCAGTGTTGTCAGACCCAGATCATAGGAAGAACAAAAAGCTCACTGGGTGACAGTTTACCAGTTTAACCAGCAATTTAATTGCCCAGCCTTCAAAAATCATCCAAAACCAGGACCCAGAAAGTTCATAGAGTCACAGGTTCACCAGTTTCACTGTCCAATTAAACCTGGCTCTGACAACACTGGTTTGGATTCTCAAAATGGTGAATTATTTGCTAATCCTGGTTGAAAACTTGCTCTGCAAGCAGCCTAGTGGTTTAAAAGTCTGGATGATAATCATGCATGCCACAAGGTTTCTGTTCATCATGCTTAAACCATATTTTACCTACATACATGTATGCATGAGGGTGGGCATTAGTGCAATGGTTGGGTTGCTCCATCGCAACCTGGGTGACCAGGGTTCAAATCTTGGAAACAGCCTCTCTGTATGTGCAGAGGTAAGGCTGCGTACATCTATCCCTCCCCAGACCCCGCATTGGCGAGAGCCTCATGCACTAGGCTGCACTTTTATACATGTATGAACATAATTAAAAGCCATCATCTGATAAACAAACATAAAGCAAGATTAAGGCCATCATAAACCTGCCGCTGCAGTTCTGTTGCTGCAAACATCTTTTTGGCACCTTTCATTGACTCCACCAATTTCTCAGGTATTACTTCACCTGTTGAGTAATGTCTAGCAAATGTCCTCAATACTCGGTAATCCCATGCATAATACCTGGAAAAAGCATCAGAAATGCTCACATAAATAGGTTTTCAACTCCTAAAACAAGCTCAGGCACTCTTTTGGCTTACTTAAACAAGCTCAAACATTATTGACTTGTTTGATAGATTTTCTCAAGAGTTATTTGTAACATGAATATATAAGATGGGAGTTTAAGAGGGTCAAAGGAAACTTTCCTTATCTTTTCATGCATTTTCAGCATGGTGCAAAAGAGCAAATTCATATGCTTGGTCTCCTCCCCCCCAGGAAGAAAAAATCTCACCCAGATGTTTGTGTTTTCTTCTTTTCTATATTCTTTTTCCTTTTGTTTTAACATTATTAAATAGACCTCTACTAAAAGCCAAATGAAGAGGGGAATATAACCAAAATAAAGGAAATAAGAAGAATCAACATTAAATCTACTTAATTAAAGGAAATCAAAATACAGTTTTACCATCTCAAATTTTGTTTTATTTTATTTTTCTGAACCTGTTTCAAACTTTCCATTCATGATGCTATGGCAGGAAAAGTTTGTCCCTTGCATTTTCCTCCATATGATATAAAGGAAGATTCCAGTAAAGGGTAAAATCGACTTTTGAAAAGTTTTAAATGTCACATAAGCACTTTTAGTCACTAAAACTGACATCATGTTAGTGGAAGGGTGGAATAAGTTACTTAACTACAAACTACAAGGGGCTTAACCAGCAATTGGTATAAAGGCAGCTCAATGGCATGCTCAAATGTGTGAGAAAAGGGTAGAGTGTGGCTTTTACTTGAGCATAGTTTTCAAGGCGCCAAGGCGAGGCTAGGCGACTGGGGGGCACCTTGTTGCCTAGTCACCTAGGCAATGGATTTTTTTTTTATGTTAAAAACATAGATCCTAGGGTAGTTCCCTAGGTACCATAACCATATTTCTTTAATAATTATTTATGATTTTCATAAGAAAAGTATAAATTTCTTATTAAAGTATAGAAAATCAACATATTCATGAGAAGAAAAGGAAGAAGGAAAATAAAATTCAAAAAATATAGGGGCTGAACCCTTGTTTTTGTTATAGGAAAAGAAGAAAATAATAAGTATTGGTAGTAGTAGTAGTAGAAGAAGGAAGAGGTAGAAGAAGAATATATGGAGGAGAAAAATGTGCTGATTAGATAAAATTTTAAGTTCTTCCTTACTTATTGGTTCAGGTTTTTAAGTCTTTGAGGGTTCAATACAGCATTTAGCAATGTTTGTGTTGATTAAACCCTAATAAATAAGAAAATAATAAAAAGAAATTAGTATATAAACACACAAAATGATTATTTTAATTTAATAATGTCTGTTTTATAATTATAATCTCAAAAAAGAATGAATAAAAAGTATTTTATAGTAGGAAGTAGAAAACTGCTTGGCGATTAGGCAAGGCAAGCTTCAAAGGGCACCTTATCGCCTAGGCATCGCCTTGACAACTATGTACTTGAGCAACAAGAAACACATGAGGTAGCAAAAGCACTTAAAGGAATTTTATTTTTAATAGAGCCTGAGTCAAACAAAAATTTCAACTTTTCAAAATGAGGATGCCCCAAACGTTTATGCCATAAATCCCAAACATTATTTCTTTGTCCAACAATAGATTCAGAAGAAAATGAACTAAGATATGCTGAAGATGCTAGTGCTTTAGGATTCTAGAACTTCAATGCAAATAAAAGGCCCAGCCTACACTCCTTCCCTTTCACTTTCCCAATGTATTGGTCCTGAATTAAACAACCATCATGAGAAAAGGTAAGTATATATCCTTCATCAACAAGTTGACCAACAGAAATCAGATTAGCAATAAGACTAGGTACAAGAAAGGTTTTGGTAAGAGGAAAGAAGGCAGTAGATAACTTTAAGGGAAATGTCATTGCTACCAATGATATTTAGTTTTTCACCATTGGCAGTAATGATATGTCTATGATGGGATTTATGAATGCTATCTAGGGGTTTAGCATAAGCTCCTATCATATGATTAGTTACTCTAGAATCAATGGTCCAAATATGAGACTGAGAAGAACAGTAACCAAAGAACAGTTTTTCACCAATCGCAGAAAAAGCAGAGGAAATAACAGATGATACTAGTTGTCGAGTTTCATCCATAGATGCAGGAGATGCAGAAGATTCACCCTTAGAAGAATCACCCTTAGAATAGGAAGCATCAATGGTTTGGCGCTCAGTCACTTGATATGCACGTGGTTGGTTCTTCTTCTGAGCACCTTCCGATGGTCTAACTGGACAGTTTGGGATGATGTGACCATGTTGCTTACAATAGGTGCCCAAGCGCCTTGCACTCATAACATTGTATTTTGGAAAAGTCCTTAGGACCAAATTTCTTGTTTCCATGAACAACAAAAGTTGTATCAACCCTAGAGTCAATTAATTTTCCATCAAAACTTGCAACAGTTAAAAGTCTAGTCTCCTCCCTCAACAATTCCCCCATCACTGAATCCAGATCTCAAATAGTCCCTCTACTCAATATCTTGGACCTGGTTATCTCATATTTAGGCCTAAGTCTCACAAGGAACTAATTCACTTTTCTTTTCTCAAAGAGTCGTTGGAGATACTTGACACATTCTACAGGATCTGAAGATTTTGAATTGATAAGTTCGTACTCTTCCCACAAATCAATAAAACCGGCATAATATTCCTGAATCTAAAGATTTCATATTCAATTTGAAACTGTCTGGACATGTTGGATAATTGGATTGATGGTACACTTTCTTCAAATATGTATATATAATATATCTCATAAGCTATACACATCCTTCTCATGGGTACAATAATATGAGAAACTAATTTCCCATTATCCAACTTCCATTGTGCATATCCTTTGATATCAGTTTCATTTGGCTTAGTAATCTTCCCATCCAAATATTCCTCTAGGCCTTTCCCTTCAACAAAAAAGTCAAAATGGAACTTCGACCGAACTTTATGGGAATGATATCAGCCTTCTCAGACATTTCAAAACACACCCACAGTCCAAAATAGGTTAACAGACTTCAAGAGAGGGTAGCAGTCCAAAAAATTGGTGATTAATCACCCAACTAAGATCAATAGAAAATCAACAACAATACTGAAATAGTACTCCACCAAAAAACTGTGGTTTTTCTGCAGAAATCACAAAAAAAGGCAATACCAATCTCAGTCCTAAAATGGTAGGTTCAGGACTGTCAACAACAAGATGGGATCGAAGCCCTATCAAAACTGATCCAAACTTCAAGGCAGGATGATTAACAGATAAAGAAGGCCTGGGCGACACCAACTACAAAGTTCTAAGCTGATTAAATCAGTCAGTTTAAAAAAAAAAGAAGAAAATCTGACCTACTGGGTGTCTTTTCCAAAAAAAAAAAAAAAAAGATATTAGCTTTGTCTAATCCAAAACAGCACCTAAAAAACTTCAACCAGGATTTAAGAGTGACCAAAATACTCCTTAAACAGTTCACTAATCACCCAGAACTTAAACAAATCAGCAGCTAAAGGATATGGCCCGCTCTGATACCATGTTAATCTTCTAGGTTAAGAGAACACCAAGAGTTTAAGGAGTGTCAAACTAAATAATCGACCCCCACCCCCAAGATCCCATATATCTTATTAGTTATAAGTATTTACAAATAGGCCCTTGAAGGGCTAAAGATAAAAATTACAAAGAGGCCCTTGGAGGGATGAAAGATAAGAAAGAAAATAAATGCTGTGGTACAACAGGGACCATAGAACTACACCATATCAAGTATCCCTACATATTAAGTGAAAAAATAGCAACTAACTTTATTAATGTGAATAAACCCTAGTTGTTTCTAGGTCAAAGTAGAGAAGAAGAAAGAAGAAAGAAAAGAGAAAGAAGAAGGAGAGGAGA